CCAGAAATCGACGAAAATTGGTGGGGCCGGTGGGGCGCTCAGAATGACTGGTGTACGGCCCTCCAGCAAAAGAGTGGTTGGTTAGCCTATGTGCTTTTGGTGTAATAACTTTGAATGATAGAGACACTCCTGTAAAATGACTCAATAGAAATGAGAAGAGGGTTCGTGCACACACTTCGGCAATGATTTTCAACAGCCATTAGACGAATTCATCAATGCAGATTGTTTATTGTGATGTTGGCAACCAACCACTAAATACCTGGAGGGCCGTACCTATAGAGCCGACCCAGGGCCGCCGGTGTGGCACCTAAAGAGGTACTGGCGTGGGACCATCAAAGCTATCGGTGTGGGTTCCCCAGAGGCAGTGGTGTGGGACCCTCAGAGGCACTGGTGCAGGAACCACAAAGGAGCCGGTGTGAGCCCTCTAAGGTGCTGGTGTGAGGCCCTCACATGGACGCCGTTGTGGTGCCTCAGACACTGGTGTGGCGCTAAGCCCACACCATTCACAGATGGCTGTGTGTGGGGCCCTTGGAGTTGTTGGTGCGAAATGCGAATGCTTAATAACCCAGTAGGACCTCTCAGAGACCGACAAAGGGCCCTCAGAGGCCGGTAACGGACCGTATGATGCCAACAATGGGCCTTCACAGGCCGGCAAGTGAGGGCCGGCAGTATCTTCAGGAGCCCTGTGGAGTCCTTAGAGATCGGCATGGTACTCTCAGACGCCGGTGGGGCCCTCAGAGTCACCGGTGTAGGACCTACAGAGTTACCGGTGGCTGACTGCCAGAGGCACTGGTGTGGGGCCCCAGAGGCGCCGGTGTGGGACCCTCAGAGTCGCCGATGTGGGACCTCAGGAGACACTGGTGTGTCAGAGGTGGCGGTGTAGGGCCCTCAGACGTGTCTGTGTGGTGCCCTCACAGTCGCCGGTGAAGACTTTCAAAGGCATCGTTGTGGGAGTCCTCACTCCTCAGAGACACATGCATGGGGGCAAGGGGTCTTCAAGAGACCAGCAAGGGCCAGCAGAGGCCTTCAGGAGCCCTGTGGGATCCTGGAGACAGGCGTGGTACTCTCAGGCGTCACTGGGAGCCCTCAGAGTCACCAGTGTGGGGCCCACTGAGTTGCAGGTAGGTAGCCGTCAGATGCGCCTGTGTAAGACCTTCAGAGGCGCCAGTGTGGGGCCCTCAGAGCCGCCGCCGATGTAGGGCCTTAAAAAAGATTGGTGTTAGTCCCTCAGATTGGCGGTGTTGGGCCCTCAAAGGCGCCGGTGTGAGACCCTCAAAGGCGCCGTTATGGGCCCTCAGAGACACTGGTGTGGAGCCGTTCCATGCGGGTATGGGCCAGGACTCTAATTAGAGCTGACGCTTAATAGGTCAGCAAGGTCACTCAGAGGCCAGCACAGGGCCCTCAGAGGCCGGAGTGGGGCCCTTATGGAGATGTGTGATATGTGGCGACCCAGGAGCCCGTGACTCCGTGAGGTGCTCTCACGAGTCCTGCGGGTCTTATCTCAGTCGAAATAAGGCACGCTTGGACCCTGAGCGGCCAATGGGCACTGCAGGGCCTCTCGGGCCCATAGGGCACCATGCATCTAATGAGGCGGCACGCGCCCCTTGTGCCCCCCCCCCCCCCCCGGTTACGCTGCACTGGCTGTGGCCATACAGGTAAATCATATTCTAACCGTCCCTTTTCCCAAGCATAGGCGGCGGCCGATTCCTGGTTTGCGCAATATGAGTGCCATCGTTAGACAATACGGTCAAAAGGGTTGAAACTTGAAGCGGCATGACTTCCCTGTTGTAAGAACTAAGAAGCAACATACTTTTAGACAAAATAAAGCAATGACAACTAAATTGAGGTTACTAAAACGACTCTGATCACAAAAGTAGTTACATAGGAAGACTTTCTAATCCATGTTTATTTAGTTCCTCGTTATAGGCGTAAGATTTTGAACGGGGGGGGGGCATACTTGTACTGAATGCCCTCCCCAGGCTCCTGTCGGGGGGGGCATATGCCCCTAATGCCCCCCCCCCTGGATCCGCCAGTGGCGCCCCTGTTTCTTATGAATGCACCCCCATGGCATAGATCAATTGCAATTTGCAGACCTCTATTGCATGTGGACGCCCATATATGTAGGCCTCAGAGGCGCCCCTCTTTCGCATTGAGGCGCCCCTATGGGCTTCATAGGCGCCCCTCTATTGCACGTAGGTGCCCTACTGTCTCAGAACCGCTCCCCTTTGGCATGCAGACGCCCATCTTTCGTACGGAGGAGCCGCTGTGGTTCTTAGAGACGGCATGGTGCTCCCAGACGCAGATGGGGCTCTCGGAGTCGACAGTGTGGGACCTTCAGTCGCTGATGGGTGCCCGCCAGATGTGGACCCTCGGAGACGCCGGTATGGGGCCCTCAGAGATGCCAGTATGTGGCCCTTAGAGACACCGGTGTGGAACCCTCAGATACTTCAGTGTGAAGCCCTTACAATTGCTGGTGTGGAGCTATGAATGCGCTGGCTTAAATCCCTCAGAGGCCGGTACATGGACATAAGAGCTCAGTGAGAGTTTGCGTGGTGCCTTCAGTGGCCTTGTGGAGCCGTTAGACATCAACATGGTGCTCTCAGGAGCCGGTGAGTCCTCAGAATCACCGGTGTGGGGCCTTCAGAGCTCCAAGATACTGGTGTGGGGCCCTCAGAGGTGTCGGTGTGGGTCCTTCAGATGTACATATAGAGCCTTGAGATGCACAGGTGTGGTGGCCCACAGAGGCGCTGGTGTGGGGCCCCCAGAGCCACCGATATAGGGCCCTAAGAGACACTAGTATGACCCTCAAAGGCGCCGCTGTGTGGCGCTCATAACCACTGGTGTGGAGCCATCACAGGCGGGTGGAGCCGTTAGAGGCCGAAAAGGGCCCTTAGATGCCTACAAGGAGCCTTCAGAAGCCGGTGTGGCACCCTTATGGGGATAAGCGTGTCTACTTAGGAGCCCTTGAGGTGCTCTCATGAGCTCTGTAGGGCCCTACCGAGCCGAAATATGGCCACGGCCAGTTGCCGCCGCATGGCTCTTCGGACTATCATTCTCAGGGGCCTCATCTGCCTAGTTTGAATAGAAGGGCCTCTCAGACCATCAGTCTCATGGGCCTCCTCTGGCTAGTATAAATAGAAGGGCCTGTTAGACCATCAATCCTAGGGGCCTCTTCTGGTTAGTATAAATAGAAGAGCATTTCAGACCATTAATCTCAGGGGGCCCCTGTGGACAACATCAAGCTTGGTGCCATGCCAAGGTATTGTAAATCGTTTAAAATTGTTGGATTCCAATAAAATTTCAGTTATCTTTTAAGCCATCGGCCGTCATAGGTGATCGGCATCTCCTGGTTGTTGTCTTTTCTACACATCCCGACCCCGATGTTTTGAGAGACTGTGATTGGTTAAAAAAAGCCTTTTGTTTGCTGGCAGAGATCACAGTCAATCTTATTCTTATCTATCATATGCCTAACATATGCTCTGAAATCGGAATACTTTAAAGCACTCGGATAGAGCAACTGAGTACCTTTTTCCGCTTCATTTATTATTGTTAATTTTTAGATAATCGGGTGAGGCCGAACACACTTCCCCGGTCCCATCATGGTGCAGCTCATTCCATATACGTTCAGGTTTTCATAGGTGGGCAAGTCCGTTAAATCGCTAATCCGTTAATTAACGGAACTAAATTTTGAGTTAACGAATAACGGACTCGCTAATTTTTTTCCACGTGTAACGGACGGTTTTAGTTCCGTTACTTTTCGGCTCCGTTAATCGTTAAAATTTAGTCCGTTAATCCGTTAATCGTTACTTTTATTTCGAAGCAAAAAGTTTACTGTAAAGTTATTGCATGTGTAACTGTATGAAACCTTCATGCGGCGAAGTTTTGTGCTCACCGCTTGTGCTCGCAGGCTGCGAACACAAGAACACAAGTTACTTGAGTGCGCCTCTTGAGCTGTTTGTGTGCGCCTCATCTCTGGTATTCAGTGTGTTGCGGCAATATACGTTGCAAATTGTGATGCACACGCCTGTCATTGGAACGCTGCCTGGCTGAGAGGCGGAGAGAAAGGGTAGAGCTGTTTGTCAGGCAAGCTGAATCGTCGGTAACGCAGGTTGAAATCGGTCGCAACTCGCATCACACATATCATCACCATGTATTATATTTATAAATAGGTATATCTTATCCATGCCGTCACCGAGCAGGAGCAGGTTGGCAGGTCTTCGAGAGCAGAACCGCGCTACGACAAGTGAGTGGCGCCTAGCCGTTAGCGTAGGTTGGTCGAGTTGTCCTCAGAAAATGCACAAGCATTTTCATATTATTCATTACCGTGTAAAATGTTAACGATTAACGGACTAAAGTAACTTCCGTTACTTTTGTTGTGAATTAACGGATTATCGTTTAACGGAACTAACTTTTTAGTTAACGGATTGACGATTAACGAAACTAACTTTTTGATTAACGATTCCCACCTATGCAGGTTTTGCTCAAGTTTGGGATATATTAAATGTATGTACAGTGCACAGCAGAAGTAATGTGCGGTTTCAGTCATGGGTATATTCTGCTTCTGAAGCTTAGGAACGATTAGCCAGACTACAATGAAACTTTGAATGTAGCTTACATGTATCGCTGTTCGTCACCCTTGCGGCTACAACTTTAATCATTGACGTCTTCTTTTCGATCACTCCGCATTTAAAAATCGTTAGTCAAAACCATCCGTTGAAATTAGTAAAACCGCACATTACTTCAACGGTGGGCTGTACCTAATAACCTAAAGATTCATTGCCTGCAAGCAATGAATGGTAGATATCGATGAAAACGTGTTCTAGTCTTTGTAAACTAATGAAAGAAAACATCAACAAATAACTTCAGAAAACACGATACCACTTAGTGACACAGCTACATAATTGGACGTCCCTTGACCTTGCACCCCGAGTTTCCCAGCCCGCCCCGCCCCGGCCACTATAAAAGGGAAAGTGCCGACGGACCGTCATCACTCCTCAGCTGACCAGCTCCAGTCACACACACCAGCTCCCAACCAACAGAATGAAGGCCTTCATTGTCGCCGCCCTCCTGGCCGTCGCTGCCGCCGACAAGCTGCCCGCTGCCTACAGGGCTCCGGTTGCCTACAGGGCCCCGGCTGCCTACGAGGCCCCGGCTGCCTACAAGGAGCCCGAGTACGAGCCGGCCCCGTACGCGTTCGACTACTCGGTCAGCGACTACGAGACGGGCTCCAAGTTTGCCGCCAACGAGAACAGCGACGGCAAGCAGACGTCCGGCTACTACACGGTGGCTCTGCCCGACGGCCGCATCCAGACGGTCAAGTACACCGTCGACGACTACGCCGGCTACAACGCCGAGGTCACGTACGAGGGCGAGGCCCAGTACCCCGAGGAGCCCGTCTACAAGGCCGCTCCGGCTCCGGCTCCCGTCTACAAGGCTGCTCCCGTCTATAAGGAGCCTGAGCAGGAGCCCATCTACGCCTACCGCCCCGTCCAGAAGTACAGCAACTAAGGCGTCTTCATGATCTCAGTTTACGTATTCTTACGTCCTTCTATTGGCATATGCCTGCCGGCCATGAAATAGGCATGATCATTGTGCTACTATTTAATATTTATTGTTGTAATTTTTGAGCTGTGCGTGAAAATATATCGTAAACTTGCTGGCTCCAGGTGTGTATTATCAAGCTTCTGCTTCTGCTTCTGTTACTGGATGCCAAGGGGGAAAACATACTTGACGGCTTACGCCTAGCGAGAAATTGAAGAATAACCCATTTATCTAGCTTCAAAGTATAAATATGAAGAAAAATGTATTTTGTTATCGTCAGACATTTTACTTTAAGATAGATTCAACCGAACCAGGCCTCGCCAATATGTCCACAGACAAGTAAACGGTTTAGCCTCCAGGCAAAAAAAAAGACGTGAAAACTGAACTTAAAAGTATACTTTTAAGTATACTTAAAAGGAGCCTGAGAAAAAAAAGTATACTTTTAAAAGTAAAAAGTATACTTTTTCCTTCCATATCTTTTGACAGAGTCTTAAAACATCAATTTGACAGGCGGTTATCTTGGTAAAACGTGTCAATGAACTTTCATTTGTCCTTAAAATATCATCATGAAAAATGACCTCAGCTCAAGGCTTGACCTGTCTGGAACAGGTCATGCTGCATATCAGTCGGTCTGTATCATTGAGGTGAACACATCACAAGTGTCTCCATCGCCTTAGTAAGTCTCTGTCGAAAAAATGGAAAAATATAAAATTGAGGTTCCAAAAAACAATAATGGTCGTGGGTGCAAGGCACTGATTAAGTACTCAATTTTCACCTTTTACGTTATTTTTAGAGTGACTTTTATCTAAATGGGCGTAGGTACAGTCCACAGCAGAAGTAATGTGTGGTTCCAGTCATGGGTATGTTCTGCTTCTGAAGCCTAGGAACGATTAGCCAGACTGCAACGAGACTTTAAATGTAGCTTACATGTATCTTCACCCTTGCAGCTACAACTTTATCTATTGATGTCTTCTTTTCAATCAGTCCGCATTTAAAAATCGTCGGTCAAAGCCATCCGTTGAGATTGGCAAAACCACACATTACTTTAGCGGTGGGCTGTACATGCCTATAGTAGGTACAGGCATAGGCGTCGCCAGAGATTTTCGGTTGGGGGGGGGGGCAAAATCAACTTTTGTGTTAAATCTTGCCTTTCCCCAGTCGTTACTCACTCGTTTTACATATCGTTCGACGCGCAATGGTGCGAAGAATTCGATGGTGACAAAGTTTTCCTTCTATAGTTCGTTTTTTTTTTCAAAAGGACGCTGGCTCCAAGTGCATTATCGAAGCTCTCACGTGAGTTTTGGCAGCTTCAGCGTCTGGCCAAGAATTTCTTACCGAAAAAATATCCGATTTCAAATTGTGCACGGTAAGTACCCGGAAATTGTGTCCTGAAAAATTAGCATACTATGATGACGTCACTGGTGGCAGCAGGCACCAAATGTCCGTAATGGGACAAAGCTTTAAAGAATTTGGGGGAAACTTCGTTTTTCACTGTTGCCGAGGTTATAATCGAGTAAGCGGTTTCGTCCATGATAGTTATGCGTTACATTGCAATACAAGTTCGACAGCATGACGTCACCACTGTTCTCATATCTGGCTCCAAAACGCACGTATGGAAATCATCGGGAATACTTCACATGTTAAAATAAGGCGACGTTCGAGTTTCTCAGGTTCAGTTTTTGCTCGTTTTGCTCGCTAGAACGCGTGCTTTTTCGAAAACCATACTTGGAGCCAGAGTCCTTTTGAAAAAAAACGAACTATGACATTATAGCTATGACATGCAACTTTTTTACAGAGAAACTCGAAATTTTCAAATTTCTGGACAAAAACGACCGGTAGAATTACAGTGGCTGCGTTGCCGACGCACTGCAGAGGGCTCTTGTGCAGACTCTCGTCGCTCATGATCATTACCCAGAAAAAAAGGTGACAAACGCTCCATTTAATCCGATCACCCTGCTAAAACCTCCATTCACGCATGCATGCAGAGGTTTTGTTCACTCGAGTGTGAACAAAACGTTTCTCGTTTTTCGTGTGAAGGGAAGCGCTGCAAACGTGAACAAAAAATGTTTAACGGAACCAAACGTTACGCACGGCATAGCGGCAAGGGATCCCTTAGAGATAGGCTTGGGACTTCCAAGCCATTTCAGGCCACTCATGATCAGTGTGGACTCTCAGAAGCCTGCTTAGGACACCTGAGATCGGCGTGGGTCATCCCAAATATTTACGTGTATGTGGTGCTTTGGGGCTTTCCGAGGCCAAGGTGGGACCCACAGAAGCCAGTGTAGTCGGCGGGCGCTAAGAGACTGGGCCCAGGGTAAGCCTGGAGCCCTCGGATAACAGTGTGAACCGTCGGGGTCTGTGTCGAATCCCTTAAGACCCTACGTAGGGACATAAGAAACATGTGTTGCGGCCCTCAGAGGTGCACGTTAGTTGTGATCCCTCAGATGCCGGCTTGGGGTTACCTAAGTCTGTCGCTGAAAAGTTCGACTGAAATATCCGAGGCCAATTAAGGTTCTCAGAAATTTTTGAAGGCATCCTCAAAGATTCGTGTGTCCCTTCAGGGGTCTACATAATGTATAAGGTCCTCAAAGATCCCTGTAACGATCCCTCAAAGATCCCTGTTATGGGCCCTCAGAGAGCATGGACACCAGTGGGACTTTCAGAGGCCGGTTTGGGCCCTCTGAAAGCTTCTTCAGGGGTCAGTGGAGCTCCTTAGGAGCCTGTGTGAAAAGCAAGCTCATGAGCCCTGCGGCACTTGAACGGTAGTTGAGCCTGTCACAGACATTTGGCGAGAGTTGAGAAAGGCCGCGAAGATTTCGTGTCACGCTTTGAACGAAAATTATGTGTCAGTAGGCTCCAAAACTTATGCAAACCAGCTATAAAATGTAATAAAGAACCAACTAGGAACATGGAATGAATCACAGCATTGGCATTTCTGAGTCTGGAGTCGGAGTCTTGAAGATTTTTGGCGACTGCGACTCTGACTCTTGTTTGAACTGCACGCTCCAGCCGAGTCTGACCTCACAAACATTCTCCGAAAGGTACCCCCATTTTTTCCCGACTCGAAAATCTCATCGGATCTGCATCGATCTCAGGGGGTGCCCGGTCCGAGGTTGGGGGGGGGGGCAAGCTGCCCCGCTTGCCCCCCCGTGGCGACGCTAATGTCGCGGGTTTTAGCAGTAGGTTTTGCACCTAGAAAATTTGGCTGGGGGGATCCATGTGATCGCAAGGCACCTCGCAGTTGCGATCAAACGTAAGTTGAATCGGAACAGATATTGGAGGGATCCATCACATCGTAGGCTAAGTAGATACGCAAGTTGTATCGCAAATGGTGAAGATACGAACTAACTTTACGAATCTTCTCGGTCGATCGGAAGGCCGATCGTAGCGAAGCTTTACCTCTTTCTCAAGAGAAAAATATAAGAAATTTTCAAAATTTTCACAAAACCGAATTATATGTTAACCCGCGCCCTGCTGGGGGGGGGGGTGTTTGAACACCCCCCCTTGTGGTTTTTCGCGAATATCTCAAAAACGGCGGCGCGGAGCGCCGCCGTTTTTGGTACACCTTATCATACATCAATTCTACACATGTTGTAAAAATTTCAGACCAAGGTCATTCAAGGTCAGGTCACCAGGTCACTTGAAGTGACCTCACCTCATAAAAAGTTTCAATGTCTGTCATAGCTACACTGAGTGACCGATCGCTTTGAAACTTTCAGCGATTGCTAAGAGCAATAGCATGTACAAAATGTATATCTCAGAATTTTGATATCGATGACCTAAGGTCAGGTCAATATTGCGACCTCCCCATTATAAGTCAATGGGAGAAAATTGAAATGCGCCTCTTTTGGACGAAAGACATTATAAACACTCCCAAACACCGAATTACAAGTGGTTTAGACACACTGAACATGAAAATGGTGTCCGTGACCCTTGTTTTTGCCCTGAGGTCATCTTAGGTCACGAATGGTATCTAACAGTTTTTCGCAAATAACTTTTGATAGAGGCATGTTAGAGCGATGAAAACGCCTTAGATGTGTTCAGCTCGACGATACGGATCGACTGATATGCAACATGACCCTTTTCGGTCAGGTCATGACCTTGACCTGAGGTCAAATATTCAAGTTGACCTTTCATGGTCAAGTTATAGTTCATTCGATGCGTCTTGACGAGAGGAACACGATGCCGGTAAAAGTAAGCTCGTACAAGGCTTGGGTCAAAAGTTATTGCAGAAAAACTGTTTTCGAAAAAATCGGCTATTTTTGCAGTTTATGCCCCCTGCAGGCAAAACCGTTGACGTTAGGTCAAATCTGAGAGAATTACTCAGAAAGGGCGTTTATAGGGCTATCGAATGCGCTTTTCCGCGGCGCTGTAGCTCTATTGGTTCCCGAGTTATGCGTTGGCTTCTTGGAAGTTTTCGACATTCGACCTGGAAATCGGCGAAATTTTGCCTTCAATGACCTCTGGTGACCTGACCTTTGACCTGACCAAAAAATTGACCGAAGTGATTTCGTCGTTATTTTTGACGCTCTTTCGAACGTCGCCTTCCGCGTATCGCTACGTGGCCCAGGAGCCGAGTTACAAGGGGGGGGGGTGTTCAAACACCCCCCCCCCAGCAGGGCGTGGAAATCCAGGACCCCCAGCCGGGCGCGGGTTAAACAAATATGGTTGATGAACACGTGTGCAAAATTTGAAGTCGATTTCTTCAAAAATGGCTGCGCTAGAGCGTTTTAAATTTACACGCTGAAAACGGTCACTTTCACGTCATTTTTGTATTTTTTTTTTCAATTTTGAAATTTAAAAAGTGTTTTGGGCAATTTTTCGCGTTAATTGCGAAAATCTGACCAAAACATGTATCGCACCATCAATGATCCGATACGCCATCAGAGGCCGCGCCGCGGACAGGTGGGCGCGGCGATACCTAGGCCGCGTGGGGGTTACACTGGTGTTCGGGAAGGGCTATGTCAACGCGAGGCAGGCCGCGGGGGAGCCGGTTGCGGCGCCGGCCCGTATTTGTCGGCGCCTAGCAGTGCAGCGGTGCGTTTATGGCGGAGGGAGGGGAAGCGGTGTAGTGTCTGCAAGGCCGCACACAGGAGAGGGCACACGGGCCTCCCCCCCA